ACAAATCTGGCCACACAGAGGAACCGGGGTTGCCTGATATAAAGAGACATAATCCCCGAAACAGAGCTTCCCACTTGCGCAATACGGAAATATCTGCTAAGTGTGCTACTTATCTTTGTCAACCTGACAACCATGTGCACGCGCTCTCTCCCGCGTTTCTCTATTAACAGTGAAGCTGTGGCTTTAATTCCTTTAGAAACAATGATGTTACCTGCTCCTTGTTGAGAAAGATAATGTAGCTCTTGATCGATTAAGCTATTCAGTTGATAAAATAAAAAGTTTGTTCCTGAATGTCGGAGTGCGGCTGCAACGTGAACTGTGTGAGTGACTGAGCCTGTGTGTGCGTTAGATACAGAAGACAGGGCATTAGTTTAGAACTCTTCTATATATTTTTTTAATCGTAGAGAGTGTGTTAATTTGTGCAATGATAACCTACCAGCAATGTAAATGATTTTTTTATATATTAGAATGAGAACATTACAATATAAATGTATTAGAACGCGTACATTGTTATTTATGGGCTTAAAAACAAGCTGCAAACAATCAGAATATTGTACCTGTTGGGGAGTGCCCAATGTAAACATGAAACATATGCCATTACCTATATTGTACTGTGGTACAGTTATGGAGGCCCTTCATAATGCAGAGGTCAACTGCCTGCTCTGCCAATAGTTAGAAACAGACCTATAGTATGCAGTGTTTAATAAACAGCTGTTTTACTAAATTCTGCTGAGGTGAAATTCAGTGCAGTCCTGTCTCGTGATATGTATCGTATCGTGACTTTGCTGGTGATACACAGCCCTAGTAGACATGGCCCTTAAAATTTTCCTCCATACTCCAACAATTTAAGAGATTAATGTGCTTCTGCAAATCAATCTATTGTGAGTTTAAAATTCTCACCAGAGAATGGGGTCATTTGCAAGCTCACTGAATCGCTTGCATACGCAGGCAGCCTGGCACAGATCCTGCTCCAGCAGGTAGGAGAAGATCTTCAGAACCACTTCATCCGGAAGCTTCTCTTGGAGATACTGCTCCGCAGGGGCAGCTGAAATAAAGACAACAGGAGAAGAAATCTAAAGCAAATTGCTTGCAGAGCACACTGAATTAATAGCCCTTTGATAAGAAGCAAAACTTTGAATAATGTAACCAACAATTGAATGACTGAGACCACACTCTGCACTCACCTGGCAAGTCCTGGGATTTTCCTGACACTCTTGCACGTTTAGCTCTGTGACCAAAGTTTTCTGTGGCTGAAGTGGAGGCTCCCTGCATCACATAAAAGTCAGACACTGACTTTTAAACTACTCATTTTAGATTACAAAGACATCAGAAGGACAATCTCTGTTAAAAGTGCAAACTAAAAAGTGATAGTATGAGTGCAAAATCTTTACCTCCATACTGTTTTTTGTGGGGCACACGGTTCTTTTAGGCAACAGGGACTTTCTACGGAGTTGGTATGGACTGTTTTGAGCTCCTGGACCAGATTCTTCAGCAACCATATCTGCAGGGATGTCCTCATCTACAAAGAACATAGGAAGAAAAAAAACAATCCATTCAGCAAAACATCTCTCAACCTGCCCTGCACAGGTTCAGACCCCAAGTTCCACCGCAAACTCCTGATTTCCATGTGTGCACGTTTCAAACTGTGCCTGCTGGAACAAAATAGAACCATTCTCGCAATAAAAACAGTCAAAAATAAAACTTTTTGTTGGCCTTCTCCAAAAGCATAGCAGCGCAGACAACACTTCCTCCCATTATTTAGTAAGAACATGACAATCTGTGGAAAACTCTGAATTTCCATGCTTCAAGACAGCTTGCTTTTCCATATCTTGATATTTAAGGAGTAAAACTCTTAAAAGCCTTAACCTTCTCTGTTTTCGTAATTGTAAACATCATTATATATTATACGTAAGAAAGCCATAGCTAGATTCATTTTGATCCAGGTAAGATGCAACAAATGCTGTTCTTCGATCAGCTACAAATGTTTTAAAGTTCCCTACCTGTTCACCTGTTTGTGTGTGCAAGTACCCTACCTACCTGTCAATACCTGGTGTACTGATCACCTGAGAGCGTTAGTCTGTCCTTCCCTACAGCACATTTGGTACCTGGAGACAACATCCAAAAATGAAAGATGAGAATAGCAGCTAAAGCTTGACTCTGAACTGTCACGAATTTTATGGCAACTCACAGCTGACTGATCCATTGGTAACAAAGGCTTTACAGGCGTCAAGACAGCAAGGCAACAAAAGTACATCAGGGCAAAATATCAAGACAACACCTGCTTATTAAATCCTTATCTGATCAGCTGTGACTCTACTCACTTTTTCTGTGTGCCTGCCTAGAAAGCGGTACCAAAATAAAGCAGTGTGAAGATGCTCTTCAATTTCATCTAAAATACAGATTTAAGAGCCTGGAGCATCACATTACATAGGCTATGTTTAATGCAAACACACAGATACTACATTATTCTACTTTCTAAAAGCCCAACTACCCCAATTGAAATGCAGTGATGGTATCAGATGGTAATACCATAGAACTACTATGGTGCATGTCCAAAAAACATGGTCAGTTTGAGTACTTTTATGTGTACAGGTTACACCACGTGATATTAACATTGAGAATATGAATACACTGCACAATCTTAGGTCAGTGCATCGCTTAGGCTGATTTTCTCATTGCAATAGGCTATAACTGCGAAAGTTTCACATCACACCAAATGTAAACAGCAAGGTAGTCAAAATGCACCAATCACTATTAGTCTAAAATGAATCAATAAATGCTGGAAGAGCATGAAAACCCAATGTTTTAACACTTTATCAAGGGAAAGCCTGTCCGGGGGGGGGGTCTATAACCAAGCTAAACGTGGAAACAAAGGTTTCCGATTGATCATCGCAGATGCACATCCACCAGCAGAACCCAGGGCCTTGTGCATAGCATCGACAAACCTGCAACAATAACCACTCATGTGATAAATGTCCCATAATGCACATACCGACAAAGCATTTATCCAACCCGGTTTGTTGGCTGTGAGCTCAACTGCGCAGCTAAGTTACTCGCATTAGCTGGCGTGCTACCTAGCAGTGTGTAAACAGTTTACTTCATAGCTACTGCATTCAAAGCGAACCAAAACTGAACAAAGCTGTTCAAGGTACTAATGCGGTGCAATAAGCAGATACTGTGATAGTGTTTGGTCTAAACGGACAGTGTTGTGTATCAATGGCAGCCCACACTGGATCCTAGCAGCTACGCAGCGCAGATTTTCATGCTTAAATCCACTTCTCACGTCTCTCTTCCACCTATGAGAGGTGGCTTATAGCAAAGGTAAATCAATATTTACCTTGTCACCTTGTTTCTAAGTTTAAAGTCTACCCGGAAAGGTGGTACGTTAAGTGTGTTAAAAGCTAGCCGTTTACGGTTCTGGCTCGTGAAGCCCAAACAAAGCGCGGCCTGGCCTGTTTATATGCGCCTCGACGCTCTGCACACAAACCCTTTTATTCAGGCCTTGCGGCTTCGGAGTGGCCCTGTCTTGTCATGCAGATAAAGTACCATACACGACACGGCACAACATTGAAGTGTTGTTGAATTAAAGGTCCCCGTCTCACCTCTTTCTGCGTTGTTTCTTTCCGGCTGCACCGGGCGCGGCCTCGACACTCGCCTGGGTCTCCTGCTGCTCGCTCTGACGGAGTTCATTTGGCGAGGTGACTTTACCAAGAAAAAATACGCGTCCCTCAAACCTTATCCTGTTGTACTTAGCATTTACACAAATCTCTGGTCTAAAACAAGTCAAGTCACCCGTCTACGCCGAAAAAGGACACCAACCCGGGGCAGTTTTTCTTATTCGGGGTGTTGTTGGTGGGTTTTTTTCGGACAGCTCCCCCCTGTGCTGAGATCCGTGTCTCTCGCTCCCTCTCTCTAGCAGGAGGAGCCATTAACATTGACACGGAGACCATGCACAAGGTGGCACCACTGATGTTCAGCAAGTGTAACATTAAGCGTGTTATTGCTTTTAAATATTGAGTTTCTAATCTTAAATGAAGTGTGTTTCAAAGTGTTAAACCGCCCTAGTGCCATGAAAACAGGGTTCTGAATTGCAATAACATTGTAAAATCCTTCCCTGGAGCCTAAAGTGGACTCCTTGCCTGGTCAAGGTAGCAAGAGGTTGGTTAAGATTCTGGGAAAGCAGCAAGACCGGATGAGCACCAGCTTGGTAGGCTGAGAGACCAGCTGGCTGTCTTAAACCAGCTAAGACCAGCAAATTATCTTAGGCTGGTTTAAGATGTTTTGGTTAGACAACAAACTTGCTTGAATGCATTGCTCTTACAAACCTGACCAAGAAATAAAGCACAGCTCAGTGAAAGACGTCCTGTTCGTCTTGGCTTTATTTACCAGGTGACATGGATTTTCAATGCCACAGACCCCCAAAATGATCCAACTCTCAGATATGATCCTTGTGTGTGGGAACCTTACCAGAAAATTTAAAAGCCAACTACTGTATACTTGTTTAAAGACCCAATCTATACTGTGAAAAAAATATTTAAATGTTAAATATTAAGTAGAATAGTTTCTTTTTTTACTATACTTACTTTAGTATTGTACAGTACTGTTAGATGCATTTAGATGCATAGTAATTTTTTCCAATTTTTCTTGAATGTAGTTAATCCTATTATTATAATTTTTCCCCCAGATCTCCTAACAATCCACTGCGGCATCCTGGTGTATTTAGTACCTTTATAAAATATTGTATTGTTTATAAATCTAAATGTAAATTTAAAAGGGTACAAATAACGTCTGTCTGAACTAAACATGTTTGTAATTATAATGAAACAAGGTAAAAATAACATTGAAAAATGTCAACATTTCCAAATGCACCCATTAGATGGCGACATTGTCACTAATCAAAATTGTAGTTGTGATTTTAACTGACAATATACCAACCAGTTGCAAGAGACTGGGTTGCAATACACACCAACATTTTTTTTTAGAAAGTTTTTACTCCGAAAGAGAATTTATGATGACAGAATGCACAGGAATGTGGCAACAATTTGCAAAATAACCTGAAAAAAAAAACATTTGAAAAGAAAAGGATGGTGCTAAAATGGAATGTTTTTCTAATCTACTATAGATTATATCCATTTCCATTATACAAACAATTTGACAGAAATGTTGGACTTTTATCCACTAAGCCAATGCTCAGCCCTTAGGCTGAAGTCAGTTTGACTTTGGCAGAACGTGACACCATCTCATTAACAAAGCTATTGTTTTGTCCAATGACCTCTGCCTTGAGTTTGCGCAGCTCTTCTTTGACAGCCTCATCAGACATGCTTTCAGCAGGCATTGATTTAACCTTAGCCAGGAAAGCCTCGATGATCTTCTCCCCCTCCTATTGGTAAGATGACAGCACATCAGTTTATTAACTAAAAGTTTAAAACATTGAGCTGCAGAGCAAATGCAAACATATCTTTCAATCTCACCTGTTTCTCAAGGCAGCGTTTCTTGGCTTCGGGTCCAGCTTCCTCCCCGGCTCTTGAGATATCCTGGAACTCCTCTAGCTCCAAAGCCTTCTCCCGTGCATTAGCAATCACATGCTTGGGGAAGTTAGCAAGCTCTGCCACATGAATCCCAAAGCTCTGGTCACAAACGCCTAATAAATTACAAACATTAGACACCACCAAACACAATGAGAATATACAAAACAAACCGAGTTTTTAGAAAATGTTTCAAGAGACACTTACCCTTTTTCACCTTGTAGAGCATGGTGAGAGTGCTGTCTGTGGTCAGGGCAGTGACGTGGAGGTTACGGACAGTGGGAACCTGCTGTGCAAGTGCCGTCAGCTCATGGAAGTGAGTGGCAAACAGGCAGAAGGACTTGAGGCAGGTGGCGATGTACTCAGAGATTGCCCAGGCCAGACCAAAGCCATCGTATGTGGATGTGCCTCTGCCCAATTCATCAATAATGATGAGAGAATCCTCTGTGGCTGATCTAAAGTTTCAAAATGCAAAACATGACAAGTATTCACTACAAAAAAGTACTGAGGGGCGCAATATGCACATACTGTAAATCAGGGATGTGCAACTTCGGTCCTGGAGGGCCACTGTCCTGCAGAGTTTAGTTCCACCCCTAATTAAACACACCTGCCTGTAACTTTCTAGTGATCTTGAAGACCTTAATTAGCTGGTTCAGGTGTGTTTGATTAGGGTTAGAGCTAAACTCTGCAGGACAGTGGCCTTCTTGGACCGAAGTTGCCCATCCCTGCTGTAAATTTATCAAATGTATAAAAATGTAAAAAAAAAACAAGGTTCTAGTGAGGCATCTACAATTGAAGCAAATGGACAGTTTCTGGAGGATTTATAAACGGTAGCATATTTTATAAAAGCACTTACACAATTCTTGTTAAAACTTGTGTATCTGAGTGTTAAAAAAGTATTTTAATATTCATGTTTTGCCTCTATTCACAAAAACAACAAATCTACAATTGCTTTTGATTTAGCTTAAAGGGAAAGTAAACCCAAAAAGGAAAATTCTGTCATCATTTAATCACCCTTATGTCGTACTAAACCTGTATGCATTTCTTTCTTCAAAATACCTTCTTTTATGTTCCACAGAATATTGTTAGTAACCCAACAAGTTTCAGTTCTCATTGAAAAGTTCTCCATTGTAGTTTGTGTCTTATTTTTTTTAGTCAATAGGAAACCGAAACTGTTTGGTTACCAACATTCTTCAAAATATTCTTTCATCTTCCACAGAAGACACTCGTACAAGTTCGGAACAACATGAGGGTGAGTAACAATTTAAATTTTTTGGTGGGCTGTCCCTTTAACTTGTACTGAACTCAGAATATTCTTTTAAGAATGATGGGAGTACAAAACGTGTCAAAATTGAGTTCTGACCGAAGAATAGCAGCTGTCTCCAGCATCTCAGCCATAAAGGTGGACACTCCTTTGATCTGGCTGTCCCCCGCACCCACTCGAGCGAGCACGCAGTCCACCACACTTAGCTCTGCCTCATCACATGGTACAAAACAACCAATCTGTGCCATCAGCACGATCACACCCACTTGACGGATGTATGTAGATTTACCACCCATATTTGGACCTAAAATATATATTAAAAAAAAGACTTTTTATTAGGGCTGGGTAAAAAATATTGATATCTCGATTTTAATCGATTCACATTTTTACAAAACGATAGATTCTCTTTTTTACGGAACGATATCGATTCTTACATCCCAAGAATCGATTAGTCTAGCCTGTTTTCAATTAATGTACGGAACGTTGAAGGGCACTTCCCATCCAATATATCGCAATTGCATTGCGATATAGCATTGTGCTTTGGTACTTTTAATAGAAAACAAGGTCTCAGATTTCAAATTCTGTCCATTGTATTGCAATATTCAAACAATAAATGCCGTTTTGGCACTGTTTAATGTGGAGTGACAGATCGCTGCTGTAGCGCCTCAGTTCAACAGACGAGGCAGCGCGAGGCGCACGTGAACTGATCATCTCCTCCACATTAATACCAGTTTCAGCACAAAATAAACATGACTAAACATCCGAACGCAAGTTAAAAGAAAGAGTACAACTTTACAATCCGTATCCTGTCTCATGTAATCTCTCAATCAGTGTTTCAGTCGCACAAAGACCTGCTGCAAAGACGTCAATATAACGGCTTGTAAACAATGTCACGAAATGTCACATTTACCTCAGAAAAAACATATTCTGTGACCATAAACTCATTAGTTAGCTAGAAAAATAAACTGTAGAGAGGGGCATTTTGCTAAATAAGCAGATACTGTGATAGTGTTTGGTCTAAACGGACAGTGTTGTGTATCAATGGCAGCCCACACTGGATCCTAGCAGCTACGCAGCGCAGATTTTCATGCTTAAATCCACTTCTCACGTCTCTCTTCCACCTATGAGAGGTGGCTTATAGCAAAGGTAAATCAATATTTACCTTGTCACCTTGTTTCTAAGTTTAAAGTCTACCCGGAAAGGTGGTACGTTAGGTGTGTTAAAAGCTAGCCGTTTACGGTTCTGGCTCGCGAAGCCCAAACAAAGCGCGGCCTGGCCTGTATTTATGCGCCTCGACGCTGTGCACACAAACACTTTTATTCAGGCCGTGCGGCTTCGGATTGGCCGTGTCGGGTCAGATAGATAAAGCACCGTACACGACACGGCACATTGAAGTGTTGTTAAATTAAATGCCCCCGTCTCACCTCTTCCTGCGTTGTTTCTTTCCAGCTGCACCGGGCGCGGCCTCGACACTCGCCTGGGTCTCCTGCTGCTCGCTCTGACGGAGTTCATTTGGCGAGGTGACTTTACCAAGAAAAAATACGCGTCCCTCGAACCTTATCCTGTTGTTCTTAGCATTTACACAAATCTCTGGTCTGAAACAAGTCAAATCACCCGTCTAAGCCGAAAAAAGACACCAACCCGGGGCAGTTTTTCTTGTTCGGGGTGTTGTTGGTGTGTTTTTTTCGGACAGCTCCCCCCTGTGCTGAGCTCCGTGTCTCTCTCTCCCTCTCTCTCTCTCTCTCTCTCTCTAGCAGGAGGAGCCATTAGCATGGACATGGAGAACATGCACAAGGGGGCACCACTGATATTCGGCAAAAAAGTGTCATTGCTTTTAGATTTTGAATTTCCAATCTTGAATAAAATTCAAAACAAGAGTTTTGAATGTAACTGCAACTGCATAAATGCCTTCCCTGGAGCCTAAACCCGTCTCCTAGCTTGGTCAAGGTAGCAGAAGGGGTTAAGGTTCTGGGAGACCAGTTGAGGACCAGCTGGCCATCTTAAACCAGCTAGGACCAGACTATATTAGGCTGGTTTAAGATGTTTTGGTTAGAAAACAAACTTGAAAGCATTGCGGTTACAAACCTGACCAATTTTTAAAAAAATAAGCACTTGAACATTTCTTAGAGCTCAGTGAAACATGTTTTTCTTGGCTTTATTTTCCAGGTAAACCATGAAAGGGATTTTTAATGCCACCCTACCACTCTGAGACATGATCATTGTGTGAGACTCCTATCCTTTAAAATCCAGCTAGTGTATATATTTTAATATTTAAAGACATATAAATATTGTAAATGTATTAAATGGAAGTTTTTCATAATTTTTTTAACTATACTTTCTATAGTACCACACTGTTGGATGCATCTATTTAAATATTTATTTTTATTATTTCTTCATTTTAAGTTTTTCTTCATTTAGTTTAATAGTTTAGTGTTTTATTTATAGTTTTTTTTCCTCCAGACCTAGCAATCCACTGCGTCGTCCTGGTGTATTTAGTGCCTTTATAAAATATTGTATTGCTTATGAATCTAAATGTAAATTTAAAATGGTACAAATAAGGTCAGTCTGAAGAACTAAACATGTTTTTAATTATAATATTAAAACATTAGCTTTGAAAATAGGTAAAAAAAATAAAATTGAAAAAGTTAAACATTTCCAAATGTATCCATTAGATGGCAACATTGTCACTAACCAAAATTGCTGTTGTGATTTTAACTGACAATATACACGCAAAATATTTTTTTTTAGAAAGTTTTTACTCCGAAAGAGAATTTATGATGACAGAATGCACAGGAATGTGGCAACAATTTGCAAAATAACCTGAAAAAAAAAACATTTGAAAAGAAAAGGATGGTGCTAAAATGGAATGTTTTTCTAATCTACTATAGATTATATCCATTTCCATTATACAAACAATTTGACAGAAATGTTGGACTTTTATCCACTAAGCCAATGCTCAGCCCTTAGGCTGAAGTCAGTTTGACTTTGGCAGAACGTGACACCATCTCATTAACAAAGCTATTGTTTTGTCCAATGACCTCTGCCTTGAGTTTGCGCAGCTCTTCTTTGACAGCCTCATCAGACATGCTTTCAGCAGGCATTGATTTAACCTTAGCCAGGAAAGCCTCGATGATCTTCTCCCCCTCCTATTGGTAAGATGACAGCACATCAGTTTATTAACTAAAAGTTTAAAACATTGAGCTGCAGAGCAAATGCAAACATATCTTTCAATCTCACCTGTTTCTCAAGGCAGCGTTTCTTGGCTTCGGGTCCAGCTTCCTCCCCGGCTCTTGAGATATCCTGGAACTCCTCTAGCTCCAAAGCCTTCTCCCGTGCATTAGCAATCACATGCTTGGGGAAGTTAGCAAGCTCTGCCACATGAATCCCAAAGCTCTGGTCACAAACGCCTAATAAATTACAAACATTAGACACCACCAAACACAATGAGAATATACAAAACAAACCGAGTTTTTAGAAAATGTTTCAAGAGACACTTACCCTTTTTCACCTTGTAGAGCATGGTGAGAGTGCTGTCTGTGGTCAGGGCAGTGACGTGGAGGTTACGGACAGTGGGAACCTGCTGTGCAAGTGCCGTCAGCTCATGGAAGTGAGTGGCAAACAGGCAGAAGGACTTGAGGCAGGTGGCGATGTACTCAGAGATTGCCCAGGCCAGACCAAAGCCATCGTATGTGGATGTGCCTCTGCCCAATTCATCAATAATGATGAGAGAATCCTCTGTGGCTGATCTAAAGTTTCAAAATGCAAAACATGACAAGTATTCACTACAAAAAAGTACTGAGGGGCGCAATATGCACATACTGTAAATCAGGGATGTGCAACTTCGGTCCTGGAGGGCCACTGTCCTGCAGAGTTTAGTTCCACCCCTAATTAAACACACCTGCCTGTAACTTTCTAGTGATCTTGAAGACCTTAATTAGCTGGTTCAGGTGTGTTTGATTAGGGTTAGAGCTAAACTCTGCAGGACAGTGGCCTTCTTGGACCGAAGTTGCCCATCCCTGCTGTAAATTTATCAAATGTATAAAAATGTAAAAAAAAAACAAGGTTCTAGTGAGGCATCTACAATTGAAGCAAATGGACAGTTTCTGGAGGATTTATAAACGGTAGCATATTTTATAAAAGCACTTACACAATTCTTGTTAAAACTTGTGTATCTGAGTGTTAAAAAAGTATTTTAATATTCATGTTTTGCCTCTATTCACAAAAACAACAAATCTACAATTGCTTTTGATTTAGCTTAAAGGGAAAGTAAACCCAAAAAGGAAAATTCTGTCATCATTTAATCACCCTTATGTCGTACTAAACCTGTATGCATTTCTTTCTTCAAAATACCTTCTTTTATGTTCCACAGAATATTGTTAGTAACCCAACAAGTTTCAGTTCTCATTGAAAAGTTCTCCATTGTAGTTTGTGTCTTATTTTTTTTAGTCAATAGGAAACCGAAACTGTTTGGTTACCAACATTCTTCAAAATATTCTTTCATCTTCCACAGAAGACACTCGTACAAGTTCGGAACAACATGAGGGTGAGTAACAATTTAAATTTTTTGGTGGGCTGTCCCTTTAACTTGTACTGAACTCAGAATATTCTTTTAAGAATGATGGGAGTACAAAACGTGTCAAAATTGAGTTCTGACCGAAGAATAGCAGCTGTCTCCAGCATCTCAGCCATAAAGGTGGACACTCCTTTGATCTGGCTGTCCCCCGCACCCACTCGAGCGAGCACGCAGTCCACCACACTTAGCTCTGCCTCATCACATGGTACAAAACAACCAATCTGTGCCATCAGCACGATCACACCCACTTGACGGATGTATGTAGATTTACCACCCATATTTGGACCTAAAATATATATTAAAAAAAAGACTTTTTATTAGGGCTGGGTAAAAAATATTGATATCTCGATTTTAATCGATTCACATTTTTACAAAACGATATCGATTCTTACATCCCAAGAATCGATTAGTCTAGCCTGTTTTCAATTAATGTACGGAACGTTGAAGGGCACTTCCCATCCAATATATCGCAATTGCATTGCGATATAGCATTGTGCTTTGGTACTTTTAATAGAAAACAAGGTCTCAGATTTCAAATTCTGTCCATTGTATTGCAATATTCAAACAATAAATGCCGTTTTGGCACTGTTTAATGTGGAGTGACAGATCGCTGCTGTAGCGCCTCAGTTCAACAGACGAGGCAGCGCGAGGCGCACGTGAACTGATCATCTCCTCCACATTAATACCAGTTTCAGCACAAAATAAACATGACTAAACATCCGAACGC